GCTAGTGGTGGTACAATTGCTGGTATTTCGTTGGGGTCTTGGTTGGGAGCTCTAAAAGCTAAGGTGTGCCCATCTTTTCTTCAGTTTTAGGGTGTATTTCTCACTGTGAGGTAGACATATAGCTCACTTAAGTTTCATTCATTGTACAGGTTCATGCTTTCTCGGTTTGCGATGATCCTGATTACTTCTATGACTTTGTCCAAGGCCTTTTGGATGGACTTCAAGCTGGTGTTAACTCTCGTGATATTGTTAACATCCACAATGTGAGTGTTAAGCATCTTAGGTGTCTCCGTTATATGTTTTACTTTTGCAGGGACGCTACACTTCCTTTGCAATTGTTTCTGTTATTGCCTATTTTACGTTGGTGGATTCTCGTGTATCCCTAGCAAAAACCACTAGATGGGAAAACGGCGATAAATGCTTTCTCTTAAGTATACAAGTTTTGCTTTTGATTCTTATGTTTTTTTTGTAGGCCAAAGGAAAAGGATATGCGATGAACACTTCAGAGGAGCTTAAGTTTGTAAAAGATGTAGCAAATGCAACTGGTGTTATTCTTGATCCTGTTTACAGGTATGTTAGTCTTTCTAGTTCTTCCTTGTTTCTAGTGATTTAAGGTCATGGATCACGTATTTAGCCTCTCAAAGTAGCATCGTAATATATATCGCGAGATTTGACATTTGGGTTTTCGAGTGTTTATCCAGTGGTAAAGCTGCGTACGGTTTGATAAATGAGATGACCAAAGATCCCAAAAATTGGGAAGGAAAGAAGATATTGTTTATACACACCGGTGGGCTTTTAGGGTTGTATGATAAGGTTGATCAAATGGCTTCACTGATGGGTAATTGGTGTCGAATGGATGTTCAAGAATCCGTCCCGAGAAAAGATGGTGTTGGGAAAATGTTCTAACAAGAACAAAATCTGATCTGTAATGTTGTGAAGAAGAGACAGATTTTGAACAATTTGTGCATTTGCATCAGAGGGAATAAATATGCATTTATGTGTGTTATATTCTGATAGATTTATGTTTGTATAAATAAAAGGTGTCTCTCAAAACTAATTCATGGGAAAGTAAGATTCAAAAGGTCAGCTATGTCTCTTTTCTTCTTATGCTCAACATATATCAGTCTAATTCTATCAATGTATCAGACTTCGCCTCATTCGCTTCCGATATGATTCTTTCCTGTTTTTCATGTTCCTATTCCAAAACTGATCTAAGATTACAGTTTTGTTTTCTCTTTCCCTCCATTGTAAGTTGTAATATCATCCATTATATATGATTCTGGTAAGTATGCAAGATAAGTCGAAGTAAAGCTCTATTACCATCAATAGATCATAGATGTCTCGATTAAAAATTGAAAATTGTCATTTTCTTACGGTGAGAATAAACCACAATTCTTCATTAAAAAAAAAAAAAAGAATAAACCACAATTTGTCAATAAACTTCTCTTTTTCCTCCTTCATTAAACGAGAAATACCTAACACCTAAAATGTAGGAAACACTTTTCCACAATTTAACCTCTAACTCAACTAAACAATCCACGATAGGGTCTACATGGGTTGGTCTTTGAAACCATCATAATAGGATAGGACCATGGTAAGGCTATAGATAGATGGTTGCAGCTACCCAAAGGGTCTAGTCCAAAACTCTAATTGCACGAGACCGTTCTCGCAAAGGCAAGAACTCTAATATTTTGTGGATAAATAAAAAATCATAAGTTTTTTTTTTTGGTTTATTTCTTAACTCGTGTGTTCGTTTTTTGGAGCCATCCTACAAAGATTCTGAGCATATGCTTTTTTTCGCAATATCACG